AAACCTGTGTCGAAGACAAAATTATGGCACGTGAGATTGGGTCATGTTAGCGAAAGAGGTCTAGTCGAATTGGGGAAGCAGAACCTGCTGGGAGGTGATAAAGTCAAAAAGTTGGAGTTTTGTGAATCTTGTGTATTTAGTAAATCATGTTGGGCGAAGTTTAATAAAGGCAAGTAAAGAACACATGGATTCCTGGATTACATTCATGCTGATCTTTGGGGGCCTGCAAGGAATCCTTCACACTCAGGTGCAAGGTATTTTCTATCCATCGTTGATGACTATTTCAGAAAGCTATGTGTGTTCATTCAGAAGACAAAGGATGAAACTTTTGAGAATTTCAAAAGTTGGAAGGTTTTGGTCGAAACTCAAACTGGAAAAAAGTTTTAGAGGTTGAGAACAGACAATGGTCTTGAGTTCTATAACAAAGCGTTCGACAGTTACTGTGTTGAGTCTAGGATTGCAAGGCATAATATTGTAGCAGGTACTCCTCAATAAAATGGCTTAGCTGAGAGATTCAATCGAACAATCCTTGAAAGGGTTAGATGCATGTTGGTTAGTGTTGGATTGAAAAAGGTGTTTTGGGCAGAGGCTATTTCAATAGCAGCCTATTTGATAAATAGATGTCCCTCGACTGCCTTGGGAATGAAGACATCTGAAGAAGTTTGGTCAGGACATCCACCTAGTCTCGACAGACTGAGAGTGTTAGGTTGTGTGGCCTATGCTCATATTAGGCAAGACAAGGTCGAACCTAGAGCTCTGAAATGCCTATTCATGGGATACTCTGAAGGAGTCAAAGCTTATAGGCTATGGTGCCTTGAGCCAGGTAACAGGAGGTGTATCACTAGTCGAGATGTAGTTTTCAATGAAGCAGATATGGCTTTCAAGAAAACTAATGATATTGACGAAGAGCTGGAATATGGAGAGATTCCTGTTGAGGTGGAGCATGTTGATGCTGAATTGCGTATCCCATATGAAGTTGAAGAAGACACATAAGATGTTGTCGAAGATGAGGAGACTGATAATGACTACCTGCTATCAAGAGACATGTCGAGGAGAGTCATCAATCCACCTCAGAGACTTGGGTATGCAAATCTTATAGCTTATTCCTTAACCTCTGCAAGTGAGGTTCTAGACGAAGAACCTAAAGACTATAAGGAAGTTATGAGGAGTCGAAAGAAGACTGAATGGTTGAAGGCCATGAATGATGAGATGAAATCTCTTTATAATAATAACACCTGGGAACTAATCAAAAAACTTGCTGGAGCCAAGTTAGTCAGCTGTAAATGGATTTTCAAAGTTAAGGAATGGATCGAAGGAGTGGCATCGAAGAGATACAAGGCAAGATTGGTCGCTAGGGGGGTCACTCAGAAAGAAGGTGTCGACTTCAATGATGTGTTCTCTCCTGTTGTGAAACACATACCCATTCAAATGTTGCTTGCCATAGTGGCACAGTTCAACCTTGAACTAGAACAGATGGATGTGAAGACTGCATTCTTGTATGGTGATCTAGATGAAATAATCCTTATGAGGTAATTGAAGGATATGTCGACTCTGATTATGCAGGTTGTATGGATTCCAGAAAATCTATTTATGGATATGTGTTCACTATGTTTGGGACAACAATCAGTTTGAAAACAACACTTCAGAAGGTTATTACCTTATCTACCACTGAAGTGGAATATATCGCCCTAACTGAAGCTGTGAAGGAAGCATTGTGGCTTGAAGGTTTTGCAAAAGAGCTAAAACTTCAAGGTCGAGTTATCACTGTTAAATGTGATAGTCAAAGTGTAATACATTTGTCGAAGAATTCAACCTATCATGAGCGAACCAAGCACATTGATGTGAAACTGCATTTCGTCAGAGGGGTAATCGAGCGTGGAAAAGTCCAAGTGCTGAAGGTTTTGACAGATCGTAATGATGCTGATATGATCACCAACACGTTGCCCAGTTGTAAGTTTTTCCACTGTATGTAGTTGATAAAGATGCATGAAGAAATCTAGTTTCTTGATGTTATAGAGTTAGATCCAAGGTGGAGATTTATGAGATATTGGATCGAACTTTAATATGTTATCGGAGTAATGCGTGTTGTAGTCGAAGTTTGTTTTAACATGCATTAGTCAATATTGCTAGGTTTGTTAGCATGTTGAATTGAGCATTGCTTGTAAGCCCAATTGTTTAAGTTAGTTTGTACCCTAAATTAGCTTGTAATGGGTAATTATTAAAAAGTCAATTAGGTTAGTGTGCTATTTTTCTTATAAATAGCATGATAGTCTCTCATCTTGTATAAGGAAACATAGGAAGATAAAATTCTAATTCAAGATAGAGAGGTTATTTGTTATTCTTGTATACTTGTAATCTTGCTTGATAGAGAAAGAAAATAATAGCAGTTTATAACCAATCCTTGTTATTTACTTTGTTAACCATAACTCTTGTGTGTTTCTTGTCTATAAAGAAACCATTTATATTTTTGTTTCAAAGCATCTTATTCACAACACTCTCAAAACCACTTGTTACGCTTCAAACATGTCCATTTAGATTTCCTTTTAGAAAAATATTCTCTCCTTGAGGGTATATCATGAAATATACCTTTTAAATCCTCCCAAATTTTTACTTTAATATGTTTTGCTAACCCAACATAAGGTGCACACCCTCAAAACCACTTGTTACGCTTCAAGATAGTATATCATGAAATATGTCTTTTAAATCCTCCCAAATTTTTACGTTAATATGTTCTGCTAACCCAACATAAGGTCCTAAAGCACTAAAAACTAAAAGTGTCTTGTTCCATTACAAATTACAAGGCAATGATCCAATATCCCACTCCTTTCTCTTCCATAATATCCTTCTTCCACTCATTATCTACGATAATTTTCACCCTATTTGTCGGTGTACCAAAGCTTAAATTCCGAGTTACCTAATTCTTTTGTCTTTTCACCCGTCCACTTAATCTCTAGTAGGCACATGAAATTGATCTTCTTCTGTCTACAATAATTCTCACCTCATTTCTCTGTCTAACTTTGTCGATGTACCAAAACTTAAATTTTAAGTTGTCTAATTTCTTTATCTTTTCGTCCATCCACTTAGTATCTAGTAGGCACATGAAATTGATCTTCTGAACCATCTTGTTCACTATTATCCTAAATCTCTCAATAAGTGTGTCAATATTCCATGTTCAAAAACAATTCATACTCTCATGAATTAATTTCATTACCTATAGTCATTTACAAAATTGATGGTTCACTATTATCCTAAATCTCCCAATAAGTGTGTCAATATTCCATGTTCAAAAACAATTCCTACTCTCATGAATTAATTTCATTACCTATAGTCATTTACAAAATTATGAAAACTCATTATCTTTTCACTGCATCCAAATAATGATGCAACCATCATTGCTCCATTGACGTTGTATTCAAGTCATGCAAGGTGTTGTTTACAAATAACAACGCAATTAATCCATGTCATAGAGATTCAACAAAATTTTACATTAGTTATCGACTGTCTAACACAACCCTCTCCTTTTACTCGGACATAAAACCATAAAACCAGCTATACATAACAATGCTAAGGTATACATGATTATATATCATTTCAACTTCACAAAATTTATCAAAATAAGTAACAGTGAACATGTATCCCAAAATCTCCTATACAAGCCTCGTAGTAGATAGAGAAATGTGGTTAAAATGAAGCCATTTACCTAACCGGTGTATACCTAATAAAACTTATCTAAAAGTTATATATGGAAAATGCATTTCCAAGAGGGCAAAGCAATTCCATTATGGCAGGGATATCAAGATATCAAGGTTTTCTTATTCCATTTGAGTCATTCGGTTGGCATGTAAGACTGACAATCTAGAAAACTGTACATTTTCGATTGGCCTAAACAACTATCTACATTTTCTATATTAAAGAACTGTCTCCAGGATGTGAAGATTCCTCAAGTACAGCTGTCATATAAATGTTTTGCATGTATTGTGATAATAGTGACAACGCAGCAAAAGTAATTTAATTCATGCATTCAATTGCATGGGACTTCAAGTCTTCAACAGAAAAAATTGTTTAAGACTGAAAGGACAAGCCCAGAAATGAAGAGAGTCGTGGGAAAAACATCAAGGTAGGCCCTAATGTGTTATAGCAACAGACAATAACAAGACTGCAATTTGGGCAATTCATAGACCCATATGCACATGCTCAAGAACAAAAGCACATGGCAATCGCAGGCAATTATGTCACCATCCACCAAATATTCATTGAGAAAAATCCCATGGCAGCATACACTTGCACTAATATAATCCTATACTATTGAGGCAAAGCCAAAGAAAGCAGTTTTTTTAATTAATATGATATAAACATCAATGAAATGTAAACCATGATAACAAAAATTTTAAAATAAAAAAAAAAAAAAGTTTACCAAGAAAGCAACGCCTAAAATAGAAAATTAACAGGATTAATCAACCATGATGTGAAAGTAAGATGAGCAGCCTATCAATGGTTTTTATTTTAATCCTGGAATTATCACTAACATGTTACCTACCCTTGTAAGAGAATTTATGATTTGTTGAAGGCATGTCTATTCAACATGTGCGTTGAAAATCCATCTTACCCTATTCTGTTCTAGCAGCATGTTAGATATACCTGAAGATAATGCTGGAAAGCTATATTGAAAATAGCATTCCATTGATATTCAATTGCACAAGTAAAAAACAGCATATCAAAATCATTTTTGCAGTTAATTAACACTATGAACAACACTACAATGCAAAGTGATGTACTTTATGATGCTCCTAAACATAAACACAATATCCAATTAAATCATTTGACAAATAAGCATCATTATTAGTAATTTACAAGAAGAAAAAGGGAAAAATGATAAAGAAAACTAAAATAATTAACACACCTATCATATCATACATACAGATTCAATGAAAAATCATCGATTGTTCTTGTTATTGCTCTTGCTTTGTTCCTGTACCATGATTTAGCTATGGATCTGATCTTTAGGGTCTTGCAAAAACTCCCCAAATCTTACCACGACCAAGTCCATCCGACAATTTCTTTGAACCCGGAACATCCAATTCAACAAGCTTCTGCGTATATACACTAGCACCAGCAGCCACCATTTGTTTCCTACAAGTTTTAGAATGCAAGAGCGAAACCAGAACAGAAACAGGGTACTGCTTATCTAAATTAACCAAAGAAGGATTCAATAGATGAACTGCACTAACTATTCCCCTCTCATCCTTCCGAAAAACCCTTCTATTGAAAGGGTGTTGCAATAACACCGACAACGCCATTGCAGCAGATTCTTTCTCCTCCGCACCTTTCCCATCTAACATCTTAATCAAAAAAGGAACACACCCACATTCCCCCATTTCCTTTCTGGTTTTGTTTCCACCATTCAAACCCATTGCATAAACCGCTTTTGCTGCCGCTATCCTCACAGCTAAAACTTCACAATTCAACACTCCCATCACCCTCCCAATAAACCCTTCTGCAACAAGGACCTCACCAATCGGACCTGTCATAGCCAAACACCTCAACATTTCAACAGCAACTTCAAGACTCTGAATCATGGGAGCCGAATCCCAGAAATTCTTCAAACACTCAACTCCACCTTCCTTATAAACCAAAACTCTCATACCCTCATCCTCCGAAATCAAATTCGCCACGCAACCAATCGCATTTTCTTGAGCCAATATCGTTCCAGACGAAGCCAATCCTAACAAAACAACAACCGCATTCTCCTCTGCAAAATTCTCTCTAATTTCGTTAAATTTCGCCAGATTCCTCAAAACCGCCGCCGCAGAAGCTTGTGAACCAGGTGTCCCACCTTGACAAATCCCTAACAGAGACGAGATTCCACCTCTAGATCCAATAGCTCTCGCGTTATCTCTAGTAAAACTCAACGCCTGAAGCGCGATACAAGCTTTCTCTATAGCTAAACCACTTCCAGAATCCAAAACCCTAAGCAAGTGATTCAACAGCAACAACCCCTCCGCGAGTAGATTATTCTTCCCACTGTCCACCGTAGAGACTCTAGAAATGGCAGCGACGGTTTTCTCCTTCATATCAGAGGAGGAATCGAGTAAACGAACAAGCACCGGAACAACACCCTGCGCAACCGCTATAGTGACGTTTTTATCGTCTTCGTGGAGTAAGGTAAGAAGCGAGTCAATCGCGGCGGCTCTTGAATCGGGCGACCCGATTTGCAACCGTGCGATGAGATTTCTAGAAAGAGATCGAACGGCTTCTCGTTTGGAAAAGGCGGGAGTTTCGAGGAGGAGGCCGCTTCGGAAGAGAACATCGCAGTCGTTGAGGTGGCGGTGGAGAGTGGCGATGAGTGAGTCGAGGTGGCTTTGCGTTTGGAGTTTTCCGAGAGGTAAATCGGGGGAGGTAGATTGGCAGTGGTGAGCGAGTGAAACGGCGTCGTGTAGGGTTTGGGAGATGGAATGGAGGAGGTGGAGGGAGAGAGGGTTAGAGGTTGAGGAAGTGGAGTACTCGGTGGAGAAATCGGTGAGGTGAGTTTGGAGTGAGGTGAGTTTGACTCGGGCGATTGACCACTTGCTTTTTAAGTGATGGACGGTGGGGATTTCTTGTTGGAGAAGTGAATGGGTGAGGGTGAGGCAAATGGTTATTGGGTCTGATTCTGCTGATTCCTTCATGCTTCACTAGATGAGAAGAGAAAACAGAAATGAACTACTATGGTGTGTTTGTTTAGTGTTCAGTTGTATAGGAATAGGAATTAGAGACAAACGGTTTGAGTAGGTTGTTGAATGCAGGAGTTAGGAGGGTGCGGGAATGCGATTGGAGGAGAGAGAGAGTGTGTAGAGTGAGACCCGACCCAGCCTTGCTGACAGCAATAACCAATAAGGGACGCCACGCAACACGATGCAGCGATTTGGAGCGTGGAGTAAACGCGCGTTTGGGACTGCATTCCCGCTGGCTAGCGCCACTCTTCTTTCTCGGTTTTTTCTTACCGCCAAGTCGGACATTTATGTGGTCAACAGCGGATATTTAGCATGTTACTATTGCTAGAGGAGTTCTTTAGTACTTCCTCCCGGCCATTTTATAAAATACATTTTACTTTTTTAATTAATTAATATACTATAAATTAAATACTTTAATTATTTAATAAACTTAGAATGATGAAATATCTCTTATAAAAAAAATAAATAGACTATAATCTTTAAGTAAATTATAGAAAAGGTTGGATTAAATTTGTTGATAATTAGAATTGTTTTATATATTTGTTATGAAAGATAATTGGAGAATATTTTTATACAAAACTTATTACTAATTAAATAAAATATTTAATATAATTAAAGATATATTAAAAATTTATTGATATAATGACACAAAATTTATACTTCATTCGTCCTAAATTATAAGATGTTTCATCTCTTTTACGCAAATTAAAAAACATAATTATTGTTATATGTGAAAGACAAATTATATATGACTTTATAATATTGTCCTAGATGAAAGAGAAATTTAAAAAATTGGAAAAAGAAATAAGAATAAATGATAGAGTGTATATTGGGAAAAAAATCATTAATGTTACGTTAGAATAATAAAGTGACTTATAATTTATGACAAATATTTTTGTCAAAGTGACTTATAATTTGAGATAGAAGAAGTATATAACAATTGAGATCGAAAGTTGATACTCTCTCTGGTCCTATTTATAAGAGACAAATTACTTTTTAGATTTATTTAACAATCTATGTATCTGATCTAATAATAGACTAAATACATTGATTGTTGAATAAATTTAAAAAGTAACTTGTCTCTTATAAATAGAGTCGGAAGGAGTATTAAATTTGTTCTCTTATACAATTGTGTGAAGGTTGGTGGAGTGAAATTTAGAGCGAGTTGCAGTGGTTATGGGCTTTTTATATGGTGAAACGAAAGTTGATAAGGTTAGCACTCTAACACTCAAGTCAATAAGAGAGGGAGAAATGGAAATTGAATGGAAAAAAGGAATCATACTTTGAGGGTGACGTGTTTTCTCTTTTAAATAGGATATGTGGTTGATAGATGTATGTGAGTATGATGTGGCTAACCATTGAATTGTTTACAGGAGAACATACATGATGATTTCATGAAGAGAAAAATGAGATCACACACTTTCTTTATGACCACCCTTTATCCAGCTACTATATTTGGCGTCTGACCCATAATAGTTGCCCTCATGTTCTTGTTCGTGGTTGATAGTGTGAGGGTTTGTAACGTACTTCGTCATCTGACTAGGAAGCTCGCAAACGTGGATGCCTTGAACGGGATGTAGTAATCTCTAGGGAAGGGTACACAGAACGTCGTTCTTGGAATTCGTATTGAGGTGCTAAGAGAAACTGATATGTGTTGCACCCCAAAATTTGCTCAACTTTTCTTTACCTAGCTTGTGTTTCATTTCATACACATTAGCATTATCATTTGCATTTCATTGACATGTATGCAGGAGATCAAGAGGTATGACCACCAATCAAGAGCTAGGCAAGACTTTGAAGCTAGCTAAGAAGGTTATTCAGGTGCTCAAGGGTTGATATCCTTGTCATAGAAGTTAAAAGATCCTCAGAGAGAGTGGTTGAAGCCAAGAGTGTGTGTCTCCTAACTTGAAAATTGTGGAAATCCATCAGATGATTATGAAGCCATGAAGTTGGACTGGAGGTCTTGAGAGATCTCATGAGAAGTGTTGAAGATCACTTTGAGGCCTAGATAGGTCATTGTGCAAGATTAAGAAGGCTCAGCCATGAGTGGTACAGCTAGGGTTTGACTGGGTCAACCCTAAGTCAAATGATGATTTGAAGAAGGTTGAGACCTAATTCAAGAGCCATGTGATCATGGATTGATGCATTGAGATGTTATAAGAATGATTTCAAGGTTAACTCATCATGATTGAAGAGTTTGAGAAATTTCAAGCTAGGGTTTCCAAGGCTTGACATTGTAAAATCCCCTAGTTTGACCCATATCTTCAAGGCAATTTAGCTCAAGATGTGATTGACATCTCATCTTACCCCCAACATGATTGTTGTAGAGCATGATCTTAGCTTTAATTTGAGTGCTAGAAGTCCTTGATAGGATTTGTGGAACTCAAGTTATGACTTTGACAAGTTACAAGTCATCTGAGGCATGTGAATTTGGAGCTTGAAAGTTACCCAACTTTCATGAAACTTTTGCCCTAGAAGGATGATTCCTATGAACTTTTGGTCAACATGAATGTTGTTCCTTATCCTCTTAGCTTTCTAGAGAGTACTATAAGTCATTGATAGGATTTGTAGAACTCAAGTTATGGCTTTGACAAGTCAAGGGTATTTTGGTCATTTGGAGATTATAGGTCATTTCAATCATAAGGCCATAACTCCTATTTGCAAGCTTCAAATGGGAAAATGTTCAACATCAAACTTGTTCAAAATGATGTTTTAAGGCTAGCCAAGTGGTCATGAGAGGTTGGAATTGCTTGTAACTCAAAATTGCAAAATTGACTTAAAAAAAGGAAGAATTAAAGTTCATTAAAAGGACCAAATTTGTGATTTTTCATTCCAAGGCCAAGATAAGGCATGTAATATGTCATTTTGATCAGAAATGACCTTTTAAAGACATTGGCAATATTACTTTTCTCATTTGAGGTCAAAATCATGGAGTTGTATTTTGTTACTTAAGGCTTAAGGTACATATGCCAAACTTCTCATAAGATCAAACCAAGGTGCAAACACATTCCAAACACACTCAAAATCTCATGTGGAGAGAATTTGGATGAGAATGAGGGCAAATGAAAGCTGCTGCAAGATCTGTTATGACCATGGCATGAGATTGAATTTCAAGTGAGATGAGATATTGAACTTCTCATTAGAGTGATCCAGAACTTTCTAGATCATTCATTCATGTCCTATATATGATTATGAAGTGATCCAAGGCCAAGGTTGGTGAGAATTGAGAGAGGAGAGTGAGATTGCATTTTGAATTTGCACATTGCAAATCAAAATCTGTTACAGCCATTGGAGCCCTTTTAGTCCAAGTTCTTGATCCCAATAGCTTGCTCTAGTGTTGGTGATCAATTCCAGATCAAATTCAAGGCACAACTGTGGAAGAATCGTGAGTTGGCCATTGGAGTTTGAAGCTTGCAACTCAGAATCGGGTTCAAGAATCTATCAAGTTTCAACTCTTTTCTTTGCATACAGAAGGTTGATTGGAGGCTAGTGAAGGAGTCTGGAAGTTCTTGAAGGTTGATTTGAAGATTCAACCACTCTGTTCACACGATTTTACCAGGTATGCAATTCTCATTCCATGGCTTAATTTAAGTAGAATCAAGAGGATTTGTTAGGTTAAATGCATTGTAGATCGATGTAGGAAGGTTTCTGGATCATTAATTTGGAAATTAGTGACCAATTAGGGTTTATGTAATTTTCGGTTGAGATCGTGTTTTTGCAAACCTTGAGTTTTTAGCATGAACTAGTGGCATGAATGAATTCCTGAGGAAATTTGGGACAACTTTCATCAAGGAATCATGTGAAATGGTTGAGTGTAGAGAGTGTTAGGGCTGGGAGAGGCTGGCCGGAAAAGCCATCGGCGGTAGTCTTCGCGCGCGCGCAGATGGAAGAAGCTTCAGAAATTCAAATGGAGAAGATATAATCTCCATCGTCCATTCATGAAGAGGACTTTGACTCAGACCTAGATCCAAGCGTGTGTGTGGCGCCACGTACCCCCCTCCCCTCAACGTTGCGTTTCACTTATGAGAGGTGTGCATCCCAGGAAACGTGGGTTCGAGACTTCGCTTGGCACTTTTTCTTTTGATTAATTTGTGAACTGAATTGAGAATTGGAGCGTGGGCTTTGGACTGGTTGATACCTGCACCCCCCTTTTGGGCCCAACCTTGAAATGAACTGAATTTTGTTGCTATTCACACCACGCGCCTATTAATTTCTCATCATTTTCTTTTAATTTCTCATTTCATTCATGGTTATTGGAAAATTCATAAATAATTGAAAAATGACTCAATTAATTCCATTCTTTTTTCCATGGATTCATGATTGAATCTAGTTTTTTTTAGATAAAAATATTAATATTTCATGCATTTTTTGATTTTATATGCATTTTTGAATTTTAATTGATATTAAAATAATCATGGTTGATGCTTGATTTTGTTGAATTTGGTTTGATCATTTGATGATGATTCTTGCCCTGATTTTTTGTGTGTAGCTAGCATAGATATGCATGTTCCCCCTAGATTTTTCTCACATTTTTGTGATGAATGCAAGTGGTAGTTTTAAGTTGAAACTTTAGGAGCTCCATTTTTAGGGTTTATGGTTGATACCTTATGATTTAGGTTTTATTTCTAGGACTTGGTGGATGATTCAACCTCTGAATTTCGTATGGTAAATTCATGATTGAATTAGGGTCCCTTAGGAATTTTTTTTGGAATTTACAATGTAGTTTACTATTTTTGTTTGATTTTAGTTTAGGTGCTAACTTTGGATGATTCTAATGCACTAATTCAACTAGAATGACTTCTTTAGCCCCCTTAGATTAGGGTTTTGCCTCTCTTGCTCTTGGATGATGTTAAAGACAAGCTTGGGCTACCATGGATTGAATGAAGAAGCTTGGATGTGAAGATCTTCCCTTCTTTTGGTGTGGTGTTGATTAGGTGCTAAGAGTAGGGTTTGTA